AACATAATTGGTGCTAGGATTATAAATTACTTGCCTTTGCTAACTTTTGCTCTCTGGTAAATATTTCAATTTATTATATTTTCAACTAAAAATCAGTGCATAAGGTTTTTTTGTGTATAAAAATGGTTTTAGAGTGATCCATCTAACGTGGTGGCAATTTGGGTTGGCTCGTCCCGCTACGTTATCAATTCGTCAAAAATGGATGATCCACCATTAAATATGGGCTGAAAAAATGAATTCATTTTGTTTTATAATGAGTTGGCGACCAACCCACCAACCCGTTAATTAAAAAAAAATTATATTTTATGAATTTTATAATATTATTTTATTTTATTTCACACCCCTCTTAATACTAATATTCAGATAAACATTCTTTAGGAACTCTTTTGTCTCCATATATAGATAACATTTGTCATAAATAAAAATTTTATTCTTTATTTTTTCTAGGAAATACTAAGATAATTTTTTTTTTGGATATCACAAAAACTTAATAACAAATGAAATACTGCTTAATTGTAAAAAAATAAAAATAATCACAATCAGGTGGGTCAACCCACCCCGCAACGGGTTGAACCCGTTTTGACTCATTTTTAGGTGGGACAGGTTGCAGTGAGTTGATGAGTTGAAAACCTCAACCCAACCCGCCCCGTTTTGACAAGTTGACCCATCAGATTCAATCCATATTGTCACTTCTCAAAAAAAGTGACATTACAAAGAGTACGATTGATTCCCATAAAATGTTATTTATTGAAACCAAGTTCTCTGTGGCAAACCCAAAAATTGTGGAGTATGGGTGGCTGCAATTCTTACAGAAAAATCCAAAATAACATTGGACACTTCACTTCTCCTTGATAACTTCTCTGCTTTCAAGATTAATTGATTTCAAAAATCAAGAATATGTTACCCACTCTGTAACAATACACATTCTATAAAATGCAGCCAAAAACTTTTTGACACCCACTTTGTAAACATTCAAAATAAAGATAGTGAAAAAAAGAAGAAAAAATAAAAAGGATGGGGTACCTTTGTGAAGTGAAGTGTGTGGTTCTCCAAGAAGAACCATATCTGAAGTTATTACCACTCTGTTCAACTAATCATGATAATGAGAAAACAAAAAAGAAAAAGAAGAACCATGTCTAAAGTTATTATCCATGTTTGTAGTTGCCAACTTTCCATCAATTTACATGCAAGAAAAAGAAACCCCTGAAAAATTAAATCAACATGAAGGGATTATTTATGCAATTAGATTAGGCATCAAATTGAAAGAAAACCCAGAATTGAATTTCAAAGAAAAATAAAACCAACCTTTGAAATGGTTAGGAGAATTTATTTTGCAGATTTGGGCATGAATTGGGAAACTAAGGTACAGATAGGGTTATTTTCGTATTTTCAATCTATTTTTTCATCAATATTTTGTCTTCAACCAAACATAGACTCAAAAAATTTAATTCAATTTTTCTGATAATATTTTAGCTTACCAAATACTTTTTTTTAATAACTCATTTTTTCGTCATATTCCTAGTAATTATATTTTTCTGATAATTTTTTTTCTCTACTCTATCAAACGCCACCTTAAAAAATATTTGGTAGAAGGAATTTTTCGTTCCCTATCTTCGTCTTGCTCCCAATGGAATCTTTCGTAGACTTCTTTGAGTTCTCCCTTTGGACAAAAAAATAAATAAATAGATTAAGAATGTAAAAAAATTTATTGTAAGAAAACATGTGAATAAAAGGAATACTTTTAGGGGCTGTTTGATACATGATAATAAAAGGGATATCCAGGAATTTGAAAATGTAAAATAAATAGATTATGCCTTGAAATATTTTGTGACTAGATATCCATTTAACACTATAGAGGGATAAAAAAAAAAAAACCTACTTTGCATGGTAATTTTTTGTACCGGCCTATTGGGTATCCATTTACACTTTTTGCAGACAAGAATACCCTTGTGAATAACAATGACTGTGTGGTTCGAGCAAGCTGCCTATTTTGGCACTGTTGTTTTATGAATTTTGTTTCTAAAATATTACAAATTTTGTTTCTAAAATATTACAGTGCAAAATCACCGAAATTCATTGTTCTTTTGGCATTGTTGTTTTATGAATTTTGTTTCTAAAACATCGTGTTTAAAGTTATATATTACGAGGAAGGGTAATTTTGTAAAAATTACATATTTTTCTAGTAATACTTTAAGGAAAAAGTATTTGTCATTTTAAATGATATAACACTCTGTCCTTTTAAGAGAGAGACAGACACAGAAAAATAAATTTTATTTAAATTTTAAATTAAAAAAAAACCAGTCATTTTCTCTCTCCCATGATTTCCATTTTTTTGTGTCTATCTCTCTCCTAAAATGACATAACTTATGTCATTTAAAATGACAAACACCAAACCCATACTTTAATATCAATAACCAAACACCTGTTCAGTAAAATTAATAAATATTTTTGGTAATATTTTAGCCTACCAAACACTTTTATCGTATTATTCCCGATCACCTTTTCTTCTAGCTATATTCCTAGTAATCGTGATATCCAAATACTAAAAAATTACTTATGTACCAAACGCCTCTAATGTTATCCTATAGAATTCCCATGAATATTAAGGTAATGTTTGGTAGAAGATTTATTTTGGGATTGATGGGAAAGTGTAAGTGGATATTGAAAAATACCACGTTTGATTCAGGTTTTTGAAAAAAATACTAGGCAAATAGGATAGATGAGAAAATGACTTTTGTGTTGATTTTTGGATGAAATTCACTGTTACAGAATACCACTTGAGATGTAGTATTTTGAGATAACTGGTGCAGTGAAAAAACAGGTGCGAAGTTTCTCCTGAACATAGATTTTGTAAATTTAAATAAATTTTCGTGGTAATATTTTGGTCAACTAAACAACTTTTTTTACATTTTTCTACCAAACTCACTTTCCAACTATTTTCCTAATATTCAAAAAAAATTTCCTCAACCAAATGTCCCATAATAAAAAAGTATAAGAATTACTTTGCACGAATTTCTGCAACAAAAAATAATTATATATTATTTATAATACATATTTTTAAGATGTCGTGTTTGCAACAGGACGGGAGCATATTAATAACTCCACAAAGTCACAAGTCTTATTTATAGTCCACAAGAGGGTCATACTTTGTTCGATATTATGAGGTGTACTTTTAAGAGACCCGTTATCATGCAATATATTCGATAGTACTATCAGTACACTCATTAATTAACGTGGAGTCCAACTCCAAGTTTGTTACACTGATCCAAATCTTGAGAAGCAAAATCTCTTATTAACTGACTTAGCATCTCTCAATCATTTTTACAACTTGTTAATTTAATTTACAGAGTACTGTTTGTGGCATATTTTTTTTATAAACATTTACAAGCATATATACATTCTACATTAGATTCACTTAACCTTTAAAATATGATATTAAAGTTTTTCAAAAATAAATTAGACTAATGAACCAAAATAGAGTTAGTAAGAGTTATCAAGAAGGCCGTTCAATTAAAGTCTTATTCAAAAAATAACAAGTCCAGGTTGTATGAACTAGAAGTCTAGAACAGTAGAACAACTTGTTACCAAAATAAGGCAAGTCAAATAACCAGAATTCTTCCAACTCGGGTACTAATTAACCTCCTTGATATATTTACAAAAAAAAAAAAAAAAAAAAAAAACTCCTTGAACTTATTCCTTCTCAATCTCAAAATGGTCCTAGAAAAGTGGAGGGAAGATAAAAACTAACTGCAAAAGTTATTTTTAATGCAAATTACTGAATATCATATGAATTATTCAATTTTTTTACAGGGTGCGATTAGGTTTGTTGACATTTTCCACAGCTTAATGTGAGATTCAAGAAAAAAGAATAATTGTACGCATGCCATCATAATATCAGGCATCAGCACTACTCTACTACATAGAAATCTTTTTTTTTTTTTTGTATATCCTACTACATAGAAATCTTGTCCTTGCTCTGACGTAAAAAATTTGTGACTACCAAAAAAGTCATTAGTTTAGTAACTAGTTGCAACAACTGTATAGTAACTCGTAAATCTTGGTTTAGATTGTATTCCAAAAAAAAAAAAAAATCATCAAGCAAGTGGAGCAACTAGGAATAGACCACTAACAACAAACTTTGATAATTTATACTATCCCCCTAAATTTTGTAATTTAATATTTTTTATATTTTAGGAGATAATATATATTTATATATAGAAAAAGTATTTGTCCTTTTAAATGACACAACTTAGAGAAAAATGTGCATCATTTTAAAGGATGTAAAGTTGTGTCATTTTAAGTGAGAGAAATAGATAGATAAAGTAGAAAAGAGAGTTGACAAAAAAAATATAAAGGTGTGAGTCTCACCATTGTGTCATTTAAAAAAACAAACACTAGTTTACCAAAAAAACAAACAAACACTTTTTCCTTTATATAATTATGATCTTTCCATATAATCCTATAATATTTTTAGGAAAAAGTGTATCATTTTAAATGACATACCTTATATCTTTTCACTCTCACAAAGAGATGCGATACACATCTTTAAAAAAAATTCGCCTATTTTTTCTTTCATAATTTATTTCTTTCTCTCATTTAAAATGATATAACTTTGTATTCTTTAAAATGATACACAATTTTTTCTATTTTTTAATATGAGAAAGGATCTATTTTCATAAAAATCTATCCGTGGATGGTAGTAGTATTTAACAACACTTCAATAGTTTATAAGGAAAGTTATATTTATAAAAAATTTTATTTATAAATTCTTATAAACCATAAATACCTTTTAACACATAGTTTATTTACAATATAATACTCTTTTTTTTTTTTTTATAACACAATATAATACTCTTAGTTTATAGCAAAGTAGTAGTTGGATGACAGCAATGTAATTGAATGAAAAATAAAATAAAATAACAAACCGACAAGCAAGGGACGCGTATTGGAAATGGAAGTAATATAAAAGGGGTGAAGGATTCACAGTAATAAAGTGGAGATTCATTTGGTAGGTAGAGAGAGAGGGGGAGTTGTTGAAGGCGAAGAAGATATCTAAAAAAAAAAAAACCATTGAAACGACGACCAACATGGCCGTTTCGAGTTATCACAAGCTTTTCACCTTTGAGTGCCGTTCAGATCCCGATTTCTCGCTACCGCCCAGCTTCGACAACCTCCGCCGCCGCAATTTCTCCTCCTCCGCCGCCTTATCCGGTGCGTTTCACTGCCCCTCTGCACTGATCCTGCGCTTCCCTCCCAACTTCCAGCGCCAGCTCAGCACCAAGGCTCGCCGCAACTGCAGCAACATTGGCGTCGCGCAAATCGTTGCCGCTTCGTGGTCGAACGACAACAACAGCGGCATCCACTCCGCCGGGGCTCCGCCGGTGCCTGCGGCTTCCGCCGTTGACGCCGCAGCCACGGCTCCCCTCCCCGTTGAGCTTACCGCTGACGAGGACGTTGTCGTACCCGTCGCCGGTGAGGCCGAAAATGGGGCTGTACAGTTTAAGCATAGTTCTTATTCTTCGTTTTTGAAATCCGATGGAAGCTTAACGATTCATGCCGGTAAGTGCTATTGATTTCTTCTTTCTTTCTTTTTTTAGTAAGTTCTTTTTTCTTTTCTTGCATTATAAATATTTGTTCAATTTTTACTTTCCAAGGTTTTTGATTAGTTTATATGTTTTCTAATTAATTTGGCTGTGATTTGCTTGAAAAATGATTTTATTTATTTATTAATTTATTTTTTGCGTTTATACTTGATCAATTTTTACGTTTTGTTGGCTACTTTATGTATTTTTCATTAAATGGGTTGTGATTTGCTTGAAAACAGATTTTTCTCTTTCTATTTTTTATTATTTTGTGTAATCTTTGGTTGCATTGCTTTGCTTTGTTTGGAAAATGATTTCTTTAGTGTTTGTATTATATAATTTTATTTTATTTTTACATTTCGTGACTAGTTTATATGGTTCTTAATCTAATTAGCTGTGATTTGTTTCAAAGAAAATATCTTCGTTTGATGCTATGCGTGCTTATTCACTTTTTGCTTTTGAATTTGCGATTAGTTTATATGATTTTAGATTAAGTTGGCTTTGATTTGCTTGGATGTTATGGTTACTAGTTATGCTGTTTACTAAGTTGATTGATTTTGCATTTGCGCTATGCAGCTGAAAGACTAGGTAGGGGTATTGTAACTGATGGAATTACCACCCCTGTGGTGAACACTTCTGCTTACTTCTTCGATAAAACTGCTGATCTCATTGATTTCAAGGTACTGTTCTTTGGAATGTTAAAACTTTATTCGCTGCATGAAATTGTCAAGTGAAAGAATCAGCGGAAGAATATCAATTAAATAACGGGGGTAATTTTTCCCTCATTTTGCAGGAGAAACGTGCAGTTAGTTATGAATATGGGCGCTATGGAAACCCAACAACAGCTGTTTTAGAGGATAAGATAAGGTTTGTGTATTTGATTTCATTATGATCTTCTAGTGTTATAAGTGTTGTGATCATTTAACGAGGTTTATTGTCAACATGAACCAGTGCACTGGAGGGGGCTGAATCAACTTTGATATTGGCATCAGGGATGACTGCTAGCACAGTCATGTTAATGGCACTGATTCCAGCTGGTGGACATCTTGTGACCACTACGGATTGTTACAGGAAGACTAGAATATTCATAGAGACTGTGCTTCCAAAGATGGGGATCACGGTATGTGATCCACTTATTTGGCGGTTTAATTGTATTTTGTTGTGTGGTGTTGGAAACTGCTTCCTATGTTGTTATGTTTCTTAGGGTGGCTTATAGAGTTGTTTAAATTGAAAGCATGCTCAATTTTTTCCTGTCGTTCAAAAGTTCTATTTCTCTTTTTCATAGTTCGCTCAGATTTGTCTTTCCCCGAATGTTTTTTTGTAAAGGGAAATAAAACCTCGGCTTCTAAATTTAATGACTAATAGAGGCACCTAATATAAATATCTTATTTGAAAATTTGCTGGGGTTTGACTGAGAATTTGAAACAAATATCTCCGATCTGAATCTTCTTGACAGTTGGTTGGGTATGGTGAATTTTTTATGTTTCCAATGTATTTATTTGTGGTAGATTTTTAATTTTCTGCCCTGGGTACTTACACCGGTAATTGTTAACTAATTTTCACTTCAATGAGCAGGCCTCTGTAATTGATCCAGCAGATGTTGGAGGCTTGGAATCTGCATTGGAGCAGAACAATGTCAGTGTTGGAGACAGTAATTAATTTCCTTTTATGGATTTCTCCGATTTATTTGGAATTAGTAATTGGTCTAGGGTTCAGATGGTATTATACAAATGTGCAGGTGTCTCTGTTCTTCACTGAGTCTCCTACCAATCCATTCCTCAGATGTGTTGACATTAAGCTGGTTTCAGAGATTTGCCACAAGAAAGGGGTTTTGCTCTGCATTGATGGTACATTTGCAACCCCTTTGAACCAGAAGGCCCTTGCCCTTGGTGCTGATCTGACTCTTCACTCTTTAACAAAGTACATGGGTGGACATCATGATGTAAGTCAGCCTGTTCTTCAAATTTTAGTTTGATGGAAACATTAGAAATATTTCAAGTATCAAGGAACATTTTTTGTCCCATTTCAGGTCCTTGGTGGTTGCATAAGTGGTTCAGATAAATTGGTTTCGCAAATTCGAATTTTGCATCATATTTTGGGTGGTGCTCTTAACCCTGTAAGTCATTTCTACAGAACCGAACCCTTGACTGATATTTGTTCAAGTCTTTTCCATGTAAAGATATAATAATTCATTATCATGCCTGACGTAGTGCAAATGTGTTCGCAGAATGCTGCATACCTATTAATTAGAGGCATGAAAACGTTGCATCTTCGTGTACAGCAGCAGAATTCAACAGCATTGAGGATGGCCAAAATTTTAGAGGCACATCCCAAGGTACCATGGCATTGATATGCACAATGTCTGGCCTCCCCTCCCTGCTTTCTCATATGTTTTGGTTTGTTTTTTTGGTAAAATGAAATTTTTAAACTTGTCAAATGAGCTCGTGCATGAGTAAAAATGAAATATATTTTTGAAGTATGTTAATTTTTTTTAATAGACTTTTTGTTTGTTTGTTCATCAAAGGCATATTTATGTTGATGATGTGTGTTTTAATCTTGTGTTTTCCCCTACATATGTTAAAAGGTATTGTACAATGTACATAATAGTAGCCTGAGCAAGATGGATAAATGATAGTAGAAGTACCAAGCTGCGCTCAGTGAGAAGACATTGGTTTCTTTTGAATTTCTGATGTTGTGATGCACTTAAATGTGAATCCCTTCTTGGTCTGCTGTGATCTTGATTATTAATAATAAGAATTTATATTATTATTACCTTTTTGCTTGTAACCTCAGGGATGGTGATCTGTATAATTTCAATATCATATACTTATAACTTTACGTGCCATTTTAACATTTTACAAATTCAGTAACGATGCTTACATTTTCATAGGAAGGGTTTTAAAATAAGATGTTTTGAGCTGTGCATCTGATGTGAACTGGTTTTAATGACATGATATTATTGGCAGGTGAAGCGTGTCTACTATCCAGGCTTGCCAAGTCATCCTGAACACGAGCTTGCCATGAGGCAGATGACTGGTTTCGGTGGTGTTGTCAGCTTTGAGGTGGGGTTTTCTATTCAAATATGTGGTTGCTACCAGCCATCATTTGCTTTATTATGGTGTTGTTGATACTGTTATTTGCTTAATTTTGATAGTTCTATTGTCAATCATGCAGATCGATGGAGATATAACAACCACAATAAAGTTTGTTGATTCACTGAAAATCCCATATATTGCGGCCTCATTTGGTGGCTGTGAGAGCATTGTGGATCAACCTGCTATATTGTCTTACTGGTACTCATTTGAATTATTTATTGTTTTTTTAGATTGTCGTATTAATGATTTGACGTGACGCTACTCATCATGGGCAACGGTCCTACAATCCTACTTGAATGTGGCCTTGTATTGAAAGCATCTTTAGTTGGTCCTTAGCTCTTTATACTGTCAAATTTGCTTTGTTTTTATTTATATTTTGAGATAAGGCTTGGTTGTTGTATATTTAGTTTTCCTGTATTCTGCAACAGGGATCTTCCGCAGTCAGAAAGGGCTAAGTATAATATTCACGACAACTTGGTTCGCTTCAGCTTTGGAGTTGAAGATTTTGAGGATTTGAAGGCTGATGTCTTGCAGGCTCTGGAAGCCATATAGACAGTATTCATTATTTACATAAGTCTTTTTTTAATCGTTTTCTTTGTTTCCTTTTGTTATCGTGTCTGGGGATTCAATTGAATTTTGATCGCTTTATGTGTTCTGTTGGGCTTGTGAGAGGAAATGGTCTCTGATTTGAATGTTATGGACTTGTGATGTATTGTTGAAATTAAAACCTACATTTGATAAATCCTGCGTTCTCCACGAATAATAATAGAGAAATGATTTCCTTAACCGGATAAGCGATTTTCCCGTGGAAACTTTTGCGATATTTATTTTTAGCTTATTTGTTTCAATTTTGTTCTAGGAGTTGCAAATTGTTTTAATCATGTTTCCTTTTGCCATATTAAGTCCGTTGTCGATTTTATATGATTGTCAGTGACTGAAGTTAATGCATGTGTAAAAGAACTGAAGCTTCCAATAATCCATATACCAATTGAAAATCTGAACGGGATTGGTATGGCGTGTTTTGGGTAATCTGGCAAGATATTTATCAAACGAAGATGGTTTTGATATGACTGTTAGTAATATCATGATTCATTCTTCTGGAAAAGACTGTTAACAGCACCTTCGCTTGCATACGTTGCAAAAACCCCTGCTGTGTTGACAATTGAGCTGGCAGAAGGATTTGGATTCTGAGCTCGTCATTTTTTCCTTTTCAATTTTTTCACAATTTTATGGATTAATCTGCAAGTACCAGGCTATATAAAAGGAATAGGAAGATAATTTACGGTGAATTAGAAAAATAACGAACACAAATATACATGAAACACTTACTAGTGGACTACGTAGTACTGAATCCGTAATTATATTTTATACTATGACTATCCGATAAGATTGGTGCGCCCCTTACTTTGGGCTCCTACAGGTAATAACTTTCCAGGTTCCATATGATTCAAATCAATAAATAAAAAACGGTTATATAAATTAATCATATTTCTCATTATAATTTTTCAATATCCAAATTAATTTATTCCGCTCCGAACAAAACCTTTATTGGTTGTAGAATTTTAAAATCTTAAAGAAACAAATATAAAGTATTTCATGTTTAGTTGGTTGTGGAATTAGAGGATATGTAACGAAGGTTTCGTGGTAACTAGTTAGACGTGTCCCGCTAAATAGGTGGTGATCATGCTGGAGTGGACACGTTACGTCTGAAAATTTTAAACGATTCTATTGTATGATTCAATGGTTGGGAATTTCGTGAACAAACATAAATTACTATTATATCATAAAAACAACATTTTTAAGGGGTGGAGGGTCTCTTTTGTGTTGGATAATTGAATTTGACTTGGTTGGCAATGCAAAGAGACAAATACGACCGTATACTTGCAGCAAGCCTTGATACGTGTTCAATTCAAGGTACGATGACACAATTTAGATTATTGATACGCATCGGTCATAGAAATGGAGCTTGTTTCTGGAGACACACTGATAGTTAATGTATCTTTGTCAATCCAGCTGCATCATATTTGTTTTTTTTTTTTATGAAGTAATTACTTAAATGTTTTAATTTTTTTTTTTTTTATTGACATAAGAGTAATTTTGATCATGTAGTAGTTTTTGTAATCATCAAAGAGGACGAGACATTTTTTCTTTCTTTCTAAGTCACGGGTATTCTTAATGGGAGGTAATTCTGTTTGGGAGTACCATATACTTTTGCTATACTACATATTGACTGTTCACCTGATTTTTCTCTTAATTAAAAAAATTAAAATAAAATTATCTATAATAAGTGAGAGTCATATTCTATGTTGCATCGACACCGACACAAGACACGAAATACGATAGGACACGACACACCGATATGTTAATTCTAAACTTTTGACACATTGATACATGTTTAGATATTAAATAATATTTTTTATATATAATATAATTTACATTTAGTGTATATAGGAGCTCATAATAATTCGTGTAACTAATCAAATATTGAATTCCATAACATATATATAAAACAAATTTCTTTTTCATACCATGTTAGTTTTTCATGTCAAATTTCATAATAGAAAATATTTGATTTATAAATTAATTTTTCATCTTTAGTTAAAAAACTAAAATAAAATAAAATTTGGATCTTAAAAAATATATATCAGAAAACGTTGATCGTGTGTTGGAAAATACTCACTGCATGTCAGAACGTGTCAGTGTCTAGATATTCTTGAAGAGACTGCTTTGTTAAATTCTAAGTCTGTTGATACTCCTATGGATTCAAGTGTCAAGCTTCTACCAAATCAGGGGAGCCCTTTTCAGATCTGAAAGTTATAGAAGATTGATATTGAAAAATTGAACTACCTCTCAGTCATTATGCGTGACATTTCATTTGCAGTGAGTGTGGTAAGTCAGTTTCTTAATTCTCCATGTCAAGAACTCTATAAAGTTGTCATTCGTATTCTTAAGTATATCAAGGCATCTCCAGGAAAAGATCTTGAACATGAAGATAAAGAGGTCATGTTAAAGTTGTTGGATATTCTGCTGCTGATTGAGCCAGTTATCCTACTGATAAGAGATCTACTACTGAAAATTTTCCATAAAAAAGATTGATATTGCAGATAATCAAACTTATATGCTCACTAAAGTTTTACCTATTAAGAAATTCAAGTGTTGCTTGGAGTTGGTTAGTGTTCATTGTTGAGATTTTCTCTTTGGAGCTTTTGTGAAAAATATTGAGTATTTGTTTATGGAATTTAAAAAATGGTGAAGATTGTTGGGCCCATATTTTGGCCCATTTGCTGTGTAGCAAATTCTATTAGGGTAATAATCTTTATAAATTTTTGCATTTTGAGTTGGGGAAGCAATGTTGTATTTTCAGAACTAGGGTTTGGGTTGTAATTCTTTTATTCTCCTTCAACCTTATGATCGTTACTTTAATACGGTAAAGCTTTCTTCTCATGTCTGTTGTTTTTATTTTTTCACGATAATTATAAACAATAAGATCATGTAGGGAATGAAATCATTGGCACTCCATGATTCCCCACCATGGAAAGATGCGACAAGATGGTCCAAATCATGAAAGAAGCTATGCATATGACCTCATCCACTTTTTAAGATTTAATGTGAAATTCAAATGAATATGTGGATTCTATGCACTTTGATATATTTGAGGATACCATATCAACATAGTTTTGATGATTGTAAATAAGATTGGAGAAGGTGATTTAAGATAAAATTAACAAGCAATATTTAAAAAGAATTCAAGAGGCAACCCAATTGTATATCAAAGCAATGCAAATCAAAGTGCTAATTAAAGTGTCAATATCAAATAATCAAATCTCAAAGCATGGAGCTAAATCCAAGAGCACATGCTTATATGAATTTCTAGATTATATGAATTCATTTGGATTGAAAATTTACTTTTCAACTTTGTCGTTAAGTTTTATCGATATAATATTTTGGTAGAATATTAATTTCTGTTATATATACAAATTGATCTATAATTTGAGGAATTCTCATATTTATTATTTTTAATTAAATATCAATTTTATAAGTTTCAACTTCTGTTGTTATAGTTTGTATTACTTACTCATTGAATTGCATCGCATGCACAACTCGTCTTAATCATAATGACATGTTTTTTGCAAGTAAAAGAGTAAACTTTTGATTTCACTTCTCTGGTTTAATCGTAGGAGTCAGTTATGATTATCATTGGTGAGCCCAACATATTATTTGTGCGGGAAAAATTTATTTTGTAATTTATTTAGAAGTCTAATAAATTATTATTTTAGAGTTGCCTCATTATTTTTGCAAATAGGCTAATTGTAAATTTGATAAAAAAAAATAGTTATAATTTTGTGTTGACAATAAATTGACCGTGTATTTCTTTTTTCTCCCTTTACTATATATATATTTTTATAATATTTATATTCTACATATTTTTTTTTTGGTTGTAAAAAATTAACATATCCATAAAATTACACACGTAAAGTAATTGTTGGGTTTGCTCTTTTACTAAAGCCCAAATGGGTGATTAGTATGAGAAGAGCCCAAGGAACCTAGAGCCCAATGAGCTAGGGTTTCTTGGAATCCATATAAATAGTACCTCTTAAGTCATCAGCCTCAAAGGTCTTTTTTGTGAGAAAGAGGCAAGCTCAGAATCTAATCAGTGCCCACACACTTCCCCTTCCTCCTCGAGAGATAGTTTGGAAGATCTGCCACAGTCCAGCTTCAAGGAGGTTGTTCGTGCTGCAGCGCTGATGTGAGCTGTTCGTGAAGAGGAATCCTACAAGGGAAGATTCTACACGAGACCTGCGCACCGAGAGGTAATTGTGAAACAAGGATGATTCGGTAAGCATACCAATGTACTAGGTCCTAAACCGCTTCCGCATAAATCTAAGATTTCCTTCAATTGGTATCAAAGCAGGTAACATGTTTTAGTTAAAAGAGGGACTGAAAGTTCAAGAATCTTTTAACTAACAGCTACATGTTAGTCCTATTTGGAAGGTAAAGTGGCCAAGCAATCCTACAAGGGCCAAAAAGGTTTGCGTAACTATTCAACTGGAACTGGTACATACTAAAGTATGTGGACCACTTAGAGTTCAGACCATAAGAGGTGATGAGTACTTCATTATATGAATGTTTACTCTGGATTGGGACAGATGAACCAAGTGCGCTATAAGTCTAAAGCTTCTGGAAATTTCCAAGAGGTTTAAGTCTGAGGCAGAAAAGCATGTAGGTGTTCAAATCAAAAACACTTTGGTCTGACTAAAGTGTTGGCTACCTGTCTGGTAAGTTCAGGTCTTACCTGATTTAAGAGGGGATAGTTTTTGTAACTGTCAACTCTAAGAACGCATTAGTTGAATGAAGTTGCAGTATGCAAAAATCAAACATTTCTAGACTTGGTGAAGATCATGTTCAGTTATTCATCTTTGTCAATGTTGTTCAAGGGAGATGCCTAAGAGAAGGAAATGTACTTTCTTAACTTGATTCCATCAAAGTTTGTTGTAAAGACACCTAAAGAATTATGGAAAGGGTGCAAGCCCAGATCAAACCATATTCGGATTTAGGGTGCTACGACACACGTCCTACAACAACAGTCAAATGAGATGGAATCTTGTATGGAAGAGTGCATATCTTTTGGCTACCCTAAGAGAACTAGGGATGATTTCTTATTTAGTCTTAAGGACAAGATAATCTAAGTGAGCACTCACATGATTTTCTTAAAGGAGGACTAGATAAGAAATTATAAGCTCTTAAGTTAGGTTATTCTTGATGAGATTTATCTCAGATCAAGAATTTTCAGAATCTCT